GTAAATGTATGTTATCACGTTCAGTGCACCCTGTCAGGTTTGTTCTATTTTCGGGCCTTTTTGGCAGCCCTCCTGAGCTCACAATGTCCATTTGTCACCGGGCAAACAAGCAGAAAAGTATCTTGTATCTTCTGAAAGTGTGTGATAGCTCCAGAACTCTCTGTCCTCCTTTATTGACCTTAGATCCCCTGTCTAGAGCAGAGGCGATCAGAACAGACAAGGTGTTTCCATATCTGGGAGTCAGAACACACTCCGTCTCGGGTTCTGAAGAGATTTCAAATATTTTTTGCCTTGCCAACTCAACCCACAGTCACACACACCTACGTGTACACACATGCACACACACTCTCTCACACACACACACACACACACACACACACACACACACACACACACACACACACACACACACACTCTCTCAAAGGTAATACAAATAAGATTAGTGAGATTGTTTTATTGAAACACATCCTTTTTTATTAAAATTTACAAAAAAGAAAAGGAAAAATACAACAGAATAATAAATACACTTTATTCAGCGCACCATCGTGGAATTTTATCAACATCGTGTCCCAAAGGGAGATGGAACCTGGGGTCGTCTGGTGGGGTTCAAAGTTCATGACCTACATCCCTCCAGAACACACACAGAGTAGAACCACACACCCCTGAAACACTACATGTAGGTATGTCAGGACCTGCCATTACAATGCACTATATTTTCAATAGCATTTAATGGTCTTGGTAAACAGCTTGATAAATCTCCTGACAATCTGACTTTCCTCTCTGACTCTGAATCGTTTTTTAAAAAGTTAACCGGGAATAGTAAGCCCTGGTCCTGGAGTGCCGCTGTGACTGGAGGCGACTGATTCAACTAATCATGCCTTTGATTGGACCAATTTGGTGTTTCCTTCCCTTTCCTCCGGAGGTGACAATCAGTTCAATCAAGTAGTTTAGTGACAGCGGCACTCCAAGCCAAGGCCTCTCCAGATATAGATCAATCAGCGGAAGCATCACTCTGACTTACATGCTGACTACACCAGCCACACGCGAGTCCACGTGCGCCATCGTATGCATGTTGATTTTGTATATCCCCACCAGACGTGACCATAACACGTAGGTTAAAATATCAAAAACCAACTGTGAACCAACTATATTAACTTGGGGACAGGTCAAAACACATGAGACGGTCATGGACATTAAGCTAGATAGCTGTTGCTAGGAGTTTGTCCTGGGAGATTAACATTGGGTTGTTATTTGTACCTGATCATGCATATGGTCCCCTTTTTAGCTGGTTCTTTGTAGAATTTTGACCCAGATCATACAAAAACCATGTGTTTCTCTACTCCGACAGCTAATCCACAGATAAAAAGGGAAACCTAGTTAGTTTTTAGTTAGTTAACTTTTATTAATATCGACTTTCAATAAACCACGTGAGTTTGTATCATCCTGATATCCAATAACGATGGCACTTGCAGCGCGTGGAGCAAGTTCTATTTTAGCGCTTGGCTACGCAGACACTAATTCACGCACGTGTGCAGTGTGGGGGAAATGATTGAATAACATGTATGTGTACATTTATTTTGCAACGCTCATGCACACAACGTGGCCAGCGAGGCGTGAACTACATAGCATATTCCACAGCGTATGAAGGTGTTTTACAGGTGTGTGGTTATTCCCTGAGTGGAGTTTGACTCAGGTGGAGGCTGCTGAGGGGAGGACAGCTCATAATAATGGCTGGAATGGAGTATAATGGCTGGAATGGAGTATAATGGCTAGAATGGAGTTCAATGGCTGGAATGTAGTATAATGGCTGGAATGGAGTATAATGGCTGGAATGGAGTATAATGCCTGGAATGGAGTATAATGGCTAGAATGGAGTTCAATGGCTGGAATGTAGTATAATGGCTGGAATGGAGTATAATGGCTGGAATGGAGTATAATGGCTGGAATGGAGTATAATGGCTGGAATGGAGTATAATAGCTGGAATGGAGTATAATGGCTGGAATGGAGTATAATGGCTGGAATGGAGTATAATGGCTGGAATGGAGTATAATGGCTGGAATGGAGTGAATGGAATGGTATCAAACACATGAAAAACAAAAAAATACATGTGTTTGATACCATTCCATTTACTCCATTCCAGCCATTATTATGAGCCGTCCTCCCCTCAGCAGACTACTAGTTTGACTAGCCCTGATATGGCTAACCTCTATAGCCTCCACTATGGTGTCTAGACTATACAATACCATGGAGGCTAGCTATATCAGGACTGGGGTTTGACCAGCTAAACCATGGTTGCTCTGGTCTGACCCTGTTCCCCATCATCCTGCTCCCCTCTCCCCTCCAGTGATTGTGCACTACTACAGTGTTCCTGGCAGGGTCCGGTCAAGTCCATGGCCCTGTTTGAATACATTCGAAATGCATCCTTTCTTCCTTCCATCCTTGAAGTAATAATCATTGATCTGACACAATTTCAATAGGTGAAAGTCAGAGTTCTCTTTCATAGTTTTGACTAATCAGAGATCACGCTTAGGAATGGAGCACAGTACGAAAAAGTATGAAAAATGTATGCACTCATTACTGTAAGTCGCTCTGGATAAGAGCATCTGCTAAATGTCTAAAATGTAAATGTAAATGTAAATGAAGGTAGGGTGTATTTTTTTGAGTATTCCAACAGGACCTTACACAGTGACACAGTGTATACGAGTCAGGGCTGTAGAGAATGTGGCTCAGGTACGGAGAAGTGAGTATGGTCTCTATGGTGATCGTGTAGACTTTCTCGTTTCACTAGGGGGTTTGTCACAACCTGAGCCAATGTTAAGTTAACAGTGCAAAACTTTTGGAGATGGTACATAAAGCACAAGCTGACAGCAGTCTCTGTGGGCTGCCTCGTGTCCCCGTAAAATGTTCCACATTCATTTCTGGGGTGAGCAATAGCTATATATATATATATTCTTTGGGGTCATTTCCATTACAACTCCAGTCAATTCAGGGATTGGATTGTGACAATTGTATTGGAGAATAGAACACTGCATAGGGCAGTTTTCATGGTCCAGTTCAATGGTGTTAAATTGAAATGGAATTAATCTAAATGCTGGTCTACAGCTGAAATGCTGGCTTGGAAATCTACCTCACATAATCTTGCATGCAATGCTTCTAGGTTCTAGTCAGATACATGGCTGAAGAAGACAACTAGTGAGCATGTTCTGTAGGCTACAACACTTTTTGCCAGGTTAAAGACAGAGCATTAATGTATTTTATTTAATACTTGGCTTTTCCATGAGAACCTGGGTTCAGCACACAACTCTATAGTGTGGTCTGCCCTAATGTAAAATGCATGGGCTGTCCAGTTAAGGTCAGGTCAAGTCAAGTCTGTTCAAATATTAATCCAAGTCAGGTCTAGTCCCAACAGTGATCCGTTTGAACGTGACAGTTTTTTACACGTATTGTTTTACACAAGTATCTTATCTTTTAACAATTGTATTCAGTGATATTTACAAATGCATATACATAGAGTAGAAGAGTAGTTATTTCCCATAGACACCAACTTTTTTATTATGACATTATTCATAGTCTAATATTGAACGTCACACAGTTTAAAAGTGCATTCCAGCTGAAAAAACAGCTCATTCTCATCCTGACCTCAAACCTTTGACCTTTACGGGCGACCCCAGTCACTACCCCAGTAATTTCTGTTCACTGGATCTGCTGGTTTTCATCTGACACAACTCTTCACTGATAAATGGAAGTTATGGATTGGACAGTTAACCGTGTTCAGAGTGTGAATTGGTTGGCGGTTGGTTAAGATTGTTCTAAAATCATGCAGACATGGTCCTCAAGAAATGTTGATTGAATAGGGGGAGGTTTTGCATAAAACATTTACAAATGTCTCTCCTCTCCTCCCTACATACAGTAAAATAGTCAAATGTTTCTCCTCCCTACATACAGACATAGAAGAGATTTATTTTTCATCACTTCATACGCAGAATCAATGCATCTTGTAATACTTTTGCTTTAGTGATTTACTATACAATCAATGCCTGATAACACAAGTGAGTATTACTGTGAGTGTGTAAATGTGTGTGCGTGAATGTGTGTGCGTGTATGTGTGTGTGTGTGTGGGGGAGGGGGGTGTGGGTGTGTGTAAAAAAACATAACTCACAGCTAAGTCAGGGAAGATCATATCACTAAATCATTTTAATTTCTCAGAATGTCTATTTTCCGGTGATGCGTCTCCGTGAGAAAATAATATTTTTAAGGATTTAAATTATTCATCGTTTTCAGTAGTGAGTTGAATTATTCACTTTTCTGCCTCTGCAGTTCAAATAAATGCAACAGTTTCTGTACAATCTCTCTCTCTCTCTCTCTCTCTCTCTCCTCGCTCTCCATCTCTGTCTTGTTCATCTTATATCACTTCTGTGTGGTACCCTAGTTTTCCATACTCCCTAGTTGAATGTATTGTCTTGCTTGCACATCGTCCCCAAAAAATATTAGCTGAGGTTCCATTATTTTCCCATCTCTCTCTCTCTCTCTCTCTCTCTCTCTCTCTCTCTCTCTCTCTCTCTCTCTCTCTCTCACTCTCACTCTCACTCTCACTCTCACTCTCTCTCATCCCCTCCACACACACAAACAAACAAACAAACAAATTCCCTCTCTCGTCTCTTTCTAATTCTATAGGTGTACAGACTTTCTGAATGAAATCCTTTCTTGGATGTTTAGGTTGTTTTTCTTTGTCCAGACCAATTAACAAATGGTTGCTGTTCAGTGGAGAAACACCATGCACATTGTCTCAGTACCTTTCAACACTTATTGCTTTAAATTATATCAATCACTCCCTGCCCTCCCCTCCCCTGCCCTCGCCTTCCCTGGGCAAATTTTTCTCTGTGTCTTTTTATTACTCTCCCTCTTCATCTCTCTTCCTTTAACTTCTCTTCCCATTATTCTAGCTCTGCTTGCCTTTTAACCACCCCTCCTTCGTTCTCTCTCCTTTTCCTTCTCCCTCTCAGTCTTTCTCCTCTTTCTCCCCCTCCTCTTTTTCATCCTCTTTTTTGTTGTTCTCTACCTCTTCCTCCCCTTCATTCTCCTTCTCCTCTTTCTCTTTCTCTCTATCTCGGAACAGCTTGGCTAGTTCCTGAAACTGCGGACCCCACTCCTCCAGCCCTCCTCCCCACTCCTCCTTCTCTGCATCCTTCTCTCCCTCACTCTCCAGTGAGCTGAGGGAGCCTGCACGCGACCCTGTTCCCTCCAGCCCGTAAATCTGCACTGAATCATAGGGCGGCTGTGAGGGGTCAAAGGTGACCTGAGCCAGACGCAGGTGGAGGAACTCACCCACCCTGAGGGCCAAGGAATGACCACCTGGTACTGGACCCCCTCTCACCGCCTCCATCCCTGGGACCCACCCTGCCCCGTACCCCATGATGCCCCCGTATGCGCCCCTGGTCTGCCCTGGGAAGGGCAGCATCTGGGGGGTCATATCCCTCCTTCCTAAAACGTATGCCCCCATACCCATCCTGTCCCGCCAGTCAGCCATGAACCCTTCTGGGTACGTCCCCCCGCAAGAAGTCCCGGTCAGAGATATCCCTCCACCCTCCCTGTCTGGCCTGGCCACCACAAAGTTGCTGCCCATCTCTAGCCCTCCCCTCCCCAGGCTCCCGGGGTAGTCCTGCCTCCGTCCCGCTGCCTCCCCTTGCAGGATGCTGGCATAGTTGCGGGCGGCTGACTGTTGAGACTGGCCGTCTGGGCCGTTGGCTCCATGCCCTTCACCACCACATCCACCACCAGAGGATTCTGCTTCAGCTGAACCGGAGCCAGTGCGTTTGGGGGACAGGCTGGCGCGGAAGGCCCTGCGGCCTGCCATGGGCAGGGTGGCTGAGTCACACACCCAGGCGCCACCGTGACTTTGACCAGCCATGGAGCCGGAGCGAGTCAGGACCAGGGTGTGCTCCCTCTCTCGGGGGAGGGTCTCAGACTGGACCTGCATGGGACGGGGAGGAGGAGGAGGGTCAGTCCGGGACAGGGACAGGGCAAGGGGGCAGGGAGAAGGAGGAGGGTCAGTCCGGGACAGGGACAGGGCAAGGGGGCAGGGAGAAGGAGGAGGGTCAGTCCGGGACAGGGACAGGGAACGGTACTGTTAAGTGGATGTAGAAGATAAAGGATAACAAGAGGTGATGAGAGAATTGTAAAAGGAGCGAATGGAGAGATGAATTGGGGAAACAATTAAAGCAGAAAGCCGGAGAGTAAGTAAAAGGGCAAATGTAAGAAACAGGGAGATAAGAAGGACAAGGGAGAGAAAGGAAATGGTGAGAAGGAAGAAAAGGCAGAGAGACAGGATAAGAATAGACAGACAATGAACAAGCAAGATAGAGAGAGTGAAAGAGAAACAGAGTTGAGAAGGTAAGAGAAGCAGCAGGTTAATGAAGCACTAGAAAGAGCTGCACTGTGAGAGAGAGGGGGATGAAGAGGGAGGAGGAAATCAAGAGACCAAACATTAAAAAGTAAAGAAAGAGACAGAAATCTTCTGAAAGCAAAACATAAAAAATAATACATATTCATCATCATCTGCTCTCAGAAATCAGCAGTGTTATAACCACGTCAAATGATAACACATTGGTTCGTTCATTCATTCACTTGTTGTCATATACAGTGTCCGTCTCTTACCCAGTCCACCGAGTCCTGACTGTGGCTCTGCTGCTCACTACTGCTCTCTGTACAGTTGCTCATTGCTCCTCCCCCGTCACCCCTCTCCTGGCTGTTATTGGTCCGTGGCGTCCCTCCATCTGAAGTGCTAACCCCGCTCTTTGGGCCTGTTCCGTCTCTACTCTCTCTGCTCCTCATTTCAGCTGGGCCTACGTAAACGGCCCCTGGCTCCAGGGCCCCCACCATGGCCCCCTGATTCTGGATGACTAGAGAGTGGTCTGGGTGGCCCCCAGGGAAGCGGTAGGCCAGCTCAGCCAGGCTCGGCTCAAACTGGCCCCCTGGAGTACGTCGGAGAACAGGCAGGGTGTGGCTGCTGTAGCAGAGGCGGCCATACAGGGGCCCTCCAGGGCCGGAGTAGGCTGGGTCCAGGGCTGGGTTCTGGGCCCAGCTGTATGCACGGGCCTTGTCCTGGATGTGCTGGGAGTAGCGTCTGGGGGACAGAAGATAGGGTGTGACAAGGCTAGACAACATGTTATAGCAGCTTTACATAGGAGCACACACCAATGAGGGATTGCACAGTATAGACAGATGATCTCACTCAGCACAGTGGATCATGTTGTAGGGTAAGGGGAAGTAGGTGGTGCCCAACAAAGTGTCTAATAAAATGTAATGGTTTTCCTCTTTATTTTTTTTAGTTAAGAGGCTGATTAGAGCAGGGAGTTTTGAGGCAATCAATGACCTAAGTGGATCAATACAGTCTTAGAGAGACTCTTGTGAAAACTCTTGAGGACTGGAGTTTTGTCTGGGTGTGTTTTTGCACAGCATAGCTTTCAATTAAACACACACACCCACACACACACACTGCACACACCACACACACTCACATGTTCCTGCTGTCCAGGGTGCGGTATCCCCTGCGTGAGCTGTGGGGGGCGCTCTGGAGCGCTGCGATGTCGAAGGCGGCCGTGTCGGCCTCACCTCCTCCCTCGTCATCGTAGGTGATGATGTTCTCCCTCACATCATCCTCCTCCAGGGGAGACAGAGAGTCCCGCTTCTGACGGCGCAGGGACAGGGACAGGGCACTGACCGCTGGAGGGAGGAGAGAGGGAGGGAGGGTGGGAGAGAGGGAGTCAGAGAAAGAGAGAGCGAGGGAGAGAGAGAGCAAGAGAGAGTGTTGGTATATCATATCTGTCCTGCATGCTAAAATCGGTAATTGACTTTGAGACACAGCCAGACAGTCAGATAGAGATATATTGTGTACTGGACTAGCCCAGTCACATTGGGAATAAAGTGGGCCATTCCCAGAAAAATTCCAATGTAATGTTAGTTGGGTTTGTGTTTCCCAGTAAAATTACTAATCAACTAATCATCAATTCTTGAATCACGCGTGATAGTGTTGGGTTGTAATGAAAGCTTGCACACCCTGTGGATCTGGGTCTCTGAGACCAGGTTTGAGTAACACTGCTGTACAGTATATTTACCCAGCAGAGTGGCGACACAGGCCAAGATGGCCAGCAAGGCGGCAGTGCTGAGCCCAGGGGAGGGGGAAGTAGACTGCTGGGGGACACACACCGTCTCTCTCTCCCACTCCCAGTCTCCCTCCGTCTGCCTCTCCTGTCTCTCCTTCTCCCCAGCCCGGGCCCCTCCTCTCAGGCAGGGGCAGATGGACACGGTGACAGTCCCGGTGGAGGTCAGGCCAGACATCCCGTCCCTTAACACCAGGGGAACGTGTAGCGTGAGGGAGGAGGAGGAGGAGGAGCGGGAGAGGGACTGCAGGGGAGACAGGAGCAACAGGGTGGCAGTGGGACCTGGATGAAGAGCGAGAGAGGGAAAAACACAACATGAGAAAAAAAAAGCAAGAAACTCAATTGAATTGAACGAAATCTCTACCATTTAATGTTATTCCCATAGCTTCCCACAGCTTCCCTCAGAGGATGTGTCGGAGTGCATTGAAAAGATGGATTTACAGTAGAGGCAAAGGTAAACAACAGGGAAAACACAAAGGGATGAGGATAACAGAATGGAGGCACGGAGGCTGTGAGATGGTTGGTAGAGGAGAGAGAGGTAGAGACAGAGAGAGAGGAGGAGAGAGAGGTAGGGGACAGACAGACAGCCAGACAGACAGACAGGCAGACAGACAGAGAGGGGGAGGAGAGAGAGGTAGGGGAGAGAGTGAGACAGACAGACAGACAGACAGAGAAGGGGAGGAGAGAGAGGTAGGGGGAGAGAGGTAGAGAGAGAAGGGGAGAGATGTAGAGAGGAGGATGAGACAGAGAGAGAAGGGAGGAAAGGAGGTAGGAGAAGAGAGAGAGAGAGAGAGAGAGAAGAGAGAGAGAAAGGGGAGGAGAAGAGAGAGAGAGGTAGGGGAGAGAGTAGAGAGAGAGAAGGGGGGAGAGAGGTAGGTGGTATCGAGTAGAGAGAGAGCGACGAGATGACAGATCGCAATCGGAGAGTCGAGAGAGAGAGAGAGAGAAGCTCCTCCGAGACGGACGCGAGACCCGAGAAGATGAGAGAGAGCTCGGAGAGAGGAGTTTCTTTTTGGAAGGAGAGCGAGAGAGAGAGAGAGAGGATAGAGAAGAGAGTGGGGAATCGAGAGAGAGAAATCGAGTTGGGTGGAGTGAGGGTGAGTGAGTGGGTGGCGAGCGGGAGCGAGACGGGAAGTGTGTGTGAGAGAGAGAGACATAAAGAGAGACTATACCTCCACTGTCTCTAACGCTGAAGTTGAGAAAGACGCTGGACTCTGGAGGGATGTTGAAATATACAGCACTGTCATTCCCTCCCTCATCTCTATCAATCGCACGCAACACCTGCACCACCTGAATGGAAGAGATAGAGCGAGTGTGAGACCAGATACAGAGAAGGAGGTGTGAAGGGAGGATGGGGGGAGGAAGAAGGAGGAGAGGAATGAGAGAGGAGGAGGGGGATTGATTGGGAGGGTGAAGGAAGGTTGGGGGGAGAGAGACAGACAAGGAGAGAGAAAATAGAAAGATAGCATTGGAGAGGTAAAAGAGATAGGAGGGGGAGGGCAATAGAGAAAATAAAAAATATATAAAAAGAGTACTTTGTAACAACGCATTACTTTAACTACCGCCCACATCCCTGTGTGACCTCAGCATTTACCTAATCAAAACAAACAAATAAAACCTCTCAAATCAAGAAGGAAGTAATTATATAACCTTAACTGTGAAGGGAATGACTTGGTTGGCTTTCAGTATATAATCTATGAAGATTGGGTTCCGACTGTAGAGAAGCACTTAGAAAATAAATAATAATATTATATCTAGTGAATATTATCTCGGCTTAAACCATTGGGACTCTCTTAAACACTGCCTGTGGCGAAAAGGCAATACAACACCTCTTTAATGGCCTTTAGACTGCAGTGATTCAGACCTAGAATAAGATGTTAGGACGTTTCTGAGTTATGCAGTAGCTAGGGCTTTCACTTTGAAAGGGTTTTTAAATTATTACACTTTATTAGTTTTGTGTACTTTAATGTCCTTATAAAAAATTTATTATTTTCAGATACATTATACAACAGTTGGCTGATGGGTTTCTTCCCTGCAAGACAGTTGCTGTAGATTCACAGATCGTGAGACAGAAAAACAAAGACACAGGAATACAAAAGAGGGCATAAACCCAGACACCGATAGAACGAACAGATAGACAAAGACAACACGTTATTGGAATAGAGACAACATGGAAACATGGAAAAAGCTAAGAAGGAATGGAAGCGTGGATAAAATGATCGACGGAATCGACAAGAATATTCAGAGTTTTCACATACTGTAAGCACACACATACACTCATACAGATACACACACACACACACACACACACACACACACACACACACACACACACACACACACACACACACACACACACACACACACACACACACACACACATACACACACACTCTGACCTGTCCAGTGGCTGATGAGTCACACATGGCTGCTGTGTACTGTCTGTCCAGCTCAGGCGCATTGTCATTCAGGTCCAGCGTCTCTATGGCAACCACCACTCTGGACACCTGGCTGGGGTTGTCTGGGGGAGAGGAACCAGGAACAGCTGTGTCACAACAGAGAGCATTCCAAGACTGCAGAGTGGCCAACACATCTCAACTCTGCTGCTCAATCCGCTAGTGTATCCTCGTGATCTAGCCTACAGGGTTGCCTGTAATAGGCTTGGTTTAAATCTAGCATTTGTTATGTGATGTTTTAGAAATCTGGCTAAATCTGCAGGTGATTGGTATGTTTTAGTATAGAGCGTTGGAATTAGTGCTTTCCATCCCTCTCTTTCCACACCAAACAGTCTTTTCAAAGCTCCAGCAAAGGCGATATGTAAGGTGAGCTGACATGCATGCAAAGCAGTTACACCAGGGCACAGTCCAAGCTGCATTCACGCACCCACACCCACACGCACACGCACACACCCTTTGGAATGCACCAACTCACAATTTGGACTGCACACGAGTCGACACACACATTTTGGCCCGCACACACACATATTTTGGGCAGCTCACCATACATTCTCTTTGGACTGTGTTACACTCAGTAACACCATGTTATGGACTGGAGCCATGGGTCCACATTGCAATGAGCTCCCAGTGTATTGGCAGGAGAGGAGAGGAGAGGAGAGGAGAGGAGAGGAGAGGAGAGGAGAGGAGAGGAGAGGAGAGGAGAGGAGAGGAGAGGAGAGGAGGAGAGGAGAGGAGAGGAGAGGAGAGGAGAGGAGAGGAGAGGAGAGGAGAGGAGAGGAGAGTGGCTGCCTCTGGCCACTGAGTTGAGACTGGCTCTCCCGAAGTCAGATAGCAATACTGATACTGCCGCCAATGGTCTGTTTAACTGATAGAGCTCATTATTCAACTCTGGCAGCAGTATTACCACTACTGAAGACCCACTTGCCCGTAGCACTGCTTAAATAAAGACCAGCACTGTCACCACACTAACCACTACTGTTGCTACCACCAGTGGTAAGTCGCTCTGGATAAGAGCGTCTGCTAAATGACGTAAATGTGTGTATTCATGGATGCCAAGAGAAGCCAGGCTTCCACAAGAAAAAAACATAACATCTTTAGTCTCTCTGTGTTTCATAATTTTCCTTCAATTCGCAAGAGGCTGAATGTATCCCACAGGAGAAAGCATCCTAGCGAGTGAAACAGCGCCCCTCTGTCTCTGTATGTGTAGCCCATCTATCTGATGCTGTCTGGTCAAAAAGAGTATGACGTTGTTGCCACCCATAGCATTGAATGCAAGGGAAGCAAGCGTGCATTTGGCCTACCTTCATAAAAAAATTAACAATAATAATAATAGCCAATCAGCATTGAGCTAAACTGAGTGAGCTCAACTGTGAAGGGTCCTGGCGCACCCAAAAAGATAGGGATTTGGACCTTTACTTAATTCTCCGTACTGGCCAATGATTATAACAGCGACTCTGATCAAAACATAAATTCATACATTGTTGTGCCCCTGGCCTGAGAGGATGGAAGTTCAATATGTAGCTAGATGTAGTATGGTAATGTTAACTAGCTGGCTCACCGTTGCCCATGAATGGAAGTTAGGCTAGCGAGCAAGCATTTTAGCCAGGTAGCCTAGGACAACAAAAAATAAAAGTGTGTACTGTATTATTGGGCTCCCGAGTGGCGCATGGGTCTAAGGCACTGCTTGAGGTGTCACTACGGATCCCATGGCTCGATTCCAGGCTGTATCACAACCGGCCGTGATTGGGAGTCCCATGGGGGGAGCACAATTGGCACAGCGTCGTCTGGGTTTGGCCGATGTAGGCCGTCATTGTAAATAAGAATTTGTTCTTAACTGACTTGCCTAGTTAAACAAAAGTACAATAAAAAAATAAAAAAATAAAATACAGTCATAGACTGTTTCGTCAACATGAAAGAGATGAGGATGATATTGGCATTCTCTACAAGTAGGGTGAGTCAACATGTTATTTCTACTTGCACAAAAGCACATGCGCACACACACACGTAACTGTTTGTTACATGCAATATGCTTTGTGGACTTCACCGGATAGATGTTGCTCTCTGATTTTGTGATTTTGAATTTATTCTGCCAATATCTTCTTATTGTCTCTGCCTTATGCCTAGACAGTGCCTTTGGAAAGTATTCAGACCCCTTGACTTTTTCCACATTTTGTTACGTTACAGCCTTATACTAAAATGGATTCAATAAAAAAAAAAATGTCAGCAATCTCACACAATACCCCATAATGACGAAGCGAAAACAGGTTTATATAAATGTTTGCAAATGTATACAAAATAAAAAACAGAAATACCTTATTTACATAAGTATTCAGACCCTTTGCTATGAGACACAAAATTGAGCTCAGGTGCATCATGTTTTCATTGATCCTCGTTGAGATGTTTCCACAACTTGATTGGAGTCCACCTGTGGTAAATTCAATTGATTGGACATTATTTGGAAAGGCACACACCTGTCTATATAAGGTCCCACAGTTGACAGTGCATGTCAGAGCAAAAACCAAGCCATGAGGTCGAAGGAATTGTCCGTAGAGCTCCGAGACAGGATTGTGTTGAGGCACAGATCTGGGCAAGGGTACCAAAAAATGTCTGCATCATTGAAGGTCCCCAAGAAGACAGTGACCGTCATTCTTAAATGGAAGAAGTTTGGAACTACCAAGACTCATCCTAGAGCTGGCCGCCCGGCCAAACTGAGCAATCGGGGGAGAAGGGCCTTGGTCAGGGAGGTGACCAAGAACCCAATGGTCACTCTGACAAAGCTCCAGAGTTCCTTAGTGGAGATGGGAGAACCTTCCAGAAGGACAACCATCGTTGCAGCACTCCACCAATCAGGCCTTTATGGTAGAGTGGCCAGACGGAAGCCACTCCTCAGTAAAAGGCACAAGACAGCCCGCTTGGAGTTCGCCAAAAGGCACCTAAAGGACTCTCAGACCATGAGAAACAAGATTCTCTGGTCTGATGAAACCAAGATTGAACTCCAACAGGACAACGACCCTAAGCACACAGCCAAGACAACGCAGGAGTGGCTTCGGGACAAGTCTCTGAATGTCCTTGAGTGGCCAAGCCAGAGCCCGGACTTGAACCCGATCGAACATCTCTGGTGAGACCTGAAAATAGCTGTGCAGCAACGCTCCCCATCCAACCTGACAGAGCTTGAGAGGATCTGCAGAGAATAATGGGAGAACTCCCCAAATACAGGTGTGCCAAGCTTGTAGCGTCATACCCAAGAGGACTCGAGGCTGTAATCGCTGCCAAATGTGCTTCAACAAAGTACTGAGTAAAGGGTCTGAATACTTATGTAAAAGTGATATTTCATATTTATTTATTTTTGCTAAAATTTCTAAAAACCTGTTTTTGCTTTGTCCTTATGGGGTATAGTGTGTAGATTGATGAGGGGGAAAACGATTTAATCAATTTTAGAATATGGCTGTAACCTGACAAAATGTGGAAAAAGTCAAGGGGTCTGAATACTTTCCGAAGGCACGGTACATCACGGTGTCAAGGCATATGAACTATCAGGTTATAGAGCAAACAACGCAATTATCACAACACAGGTTGTAATATGGCATTTTCTTCTGGCTTGGCTTCCCCAGTGAATTCTGGCTTTGGCTTCCCCCGTTATTTTACACACGCACCGCTACTGGCTACCACTGTGTTACGCTAATAGCTATGACATTAAGGGGTTAATTTAGGATTCTTTAGCTGGTGGAAATGTATGCAAAATGTTTCCTTTTCTGTGACCATTCTTAATATAAAATGTGATGTGTTTAATTAGGATCTGCTGTCTCCAATCCTAAGGTGGTGGCACTTAATTTGATTCCTCCCAATTTCACAGATGGTACTAATACTGCCATAAGCACTACTACTGTCAGCATGGTTAAAGCACAGTGCTACTACTGCTGGTCCCACTGTAGAACCAATAGAAGCCATCAAGACATATCAAGTAAAGCTGCTTAGTGGAGTGTATTGTACTTAAACTCTTTACGGCTTTTCATGCTTTGGCGGAGAGTGAAGGTGCAATGACTGGGGTCAGGAGTTTGTCCTGATCATGTGACCTGAATAGAAAAACTAAGGGCCCGAGTAGGGTTGCAAAATTCCTGGAACTTTCAATAAATGTCCTGGTTTTCCAGAAATCGTGATTGGAGGATTCCGTATTTCCTGCTGATTCCCTCCTGATTCCGTCTTTCCGGGAATCCTTTAACCGGGATTTCGGAAAAACCAGCCAATTTCTTGAAAGTTCCAGGAATTTTGCAACCCTAAGCCCGAGTCATATGCTATAACTAGTGCAGAGTTATTCCTGGTCAGGTCAAAACGCCTGGCTCTAAATGATGACCCTCTGACCTCTCTGCATGGCGATGACGGTGATGTTGTGCCACTGCTCGCGCTCACGGTCCAGCTCCATTGCTGTGGTGATGAGGCCGCTGTCCGCGGTGATACGGAACAGAGCTTCCTGGTCTGACTGGGGATCAATAGAGAACCTGGGAGAGATGGAGAGGGAGCGGGGGAGAGAGAGAGAGAGAGATGGGGGGAGGAGAGGGGGCGGGGGAAAGGGAGAGAGAGAGAGAGAAAGATAAGGATGAGAGGATATAAATGGCCAGGGAATTAATATCACAGATGATCGTAGTCGATACGAGCTCACTTGAAGTAGCACTCATTTATCTAAATATCTCAATGAATGTTCTAACTACCGTTCCACCACACATTCCCCTATTCCTGCTCTGTATTGCTGTGTGAAAACAGGGCCAGCACTGACTAGATCATTTTTTCTGACGAGAACATACATATAAAATAAATATAATGATAATTTTGCCTTGAACCTTCCTTAGTGTGTGTGTGTGTTTGTGAATGGGACTGAATTGTGTGTCCCCACAAGGTTAGTTGTACAAGACTGTGTGTGTGTGTGTGTGTGTGTTTGTGTGTATGTGTGTGTGTGTTATGTGTGTTTGTGTGTGTGTGTGAGAGAGTGTTTATGATACAGTCCAGTACCTGATGTTGTTGGTGAGTCCAGTATCAGGGTCCACAGCACTAACCCGTCCCACGGTGCAGGCGGGAGGGCAGTTCTCGGACACGTCCATACGGTAGCGTGCCCGGGCGAAACGAGGCGGCTCGTCAGCGTCCAGCACGGCCACCCTGATGGAGGCCCGGTCCTTAAAGGGCCCGCGGCGCATGAAACGAGAGTCCACCATGGGGTTCAACACCTCCACGGAGAAGGAGTAGGAGCTACGACTCTCATAGTCTACAGCCTGCAGAGAGAGGGAGAGGGGGAGAGAGAGAGAGGGGGAGAGAGAGAGAGACAAAGAGAGAGAGAGAGACAAAGAGAGAGAGAGAGACAAAGAGAGAGAGAGAGAGAGAGAGACAGACAGACAGACAGACAGACAGACAGACAGACAGACAGACAGACAGACAGACAGACAGACAGACAGACAGACAGACAGACAGAGAGAAAGAGAGAGAGAGAGAGGTGTTACAGTAGGTGTCTATTTGCTGGTTCTGATGGGGAACATTACCAAGTGATATTGTATCATGCTTTCTCTTTACAACACTGGTAGTTAATGTATTCACATTCTCGTGTGTGGTCCTGGGTATGGTGTGGAAACATACACATTTCCATATAAATGCAATAAGCTCACCTTGACAGTGAAAATTTCGCAAAGCTTATGTTTCATTCAGTGGTAGAAACATAAACATCAGGTATGATGTATTGACCTGGTTAACTATTACATTCACAGACATGTAGTCAGCAGGAGGGTTTCATGCTACAGCTCCGGTCTGGTCTGAGTCTGGCGTCTGCTGAGAATTTTGAACACTATTAATGCGAGCTGAGGCCGGCCTGCCTGCCTGCCTGTCTGTCTGTCTGTCTGTCTGTCTGTCGTGGTTTCTCTCCACAGCAGGGTTACTCTAGTCTGAAGGAATGAATCTGTCTCTGATCAAATCAGGACAGATTATGGCTAGCGAGGGCTAAACCCTGCCTTGATTACATACTGGAGAGCAACACGGCTGGTTCTGGTTCCAAACAGCTTTCTGAGATTTTCCTACATGACATGTGCTTCCTGAGCCGAATATTGGATGGAGGCAGTAGGATTGGCAGAAAGATGCAGGCTGGACTGGACTGGGGCTAAATAGACTGGTTAGCAATATTCAAAGCATGAGTCGTGAGTAAAAATAACTAACTTTGAAGGTCCCTCGTGGAGGAAAATATTGATTTTTTCTCCTCTTTCTAATCCTCTCCCAAATTTTTCATTTTCTCACAGTTGTAAGGAACTGCATTCTCTTAGAAGATATCTGTAATCTTAACAGGGCAGAGACTGATAAAAAAATATGCAATGAGGAAAGGGCAATTGAAGGGCACAGGTATTGAAATATAGGCAATACGGGAACATTTCTATGCGGGGAAAAAAGGAAATGTCAGAGAGAAAGAGGGAGGCAGGAAGGGAGAGGGAGCGAGGGAGCGAGGGAGCGAGGGAGGAGGTCTATAACAGGATCCCATTAGAGGGAGAGAGAGACAATCTGTCTGAGGAGGAGAGATGTCACTTATACTGTGAGCACACACTCATCACCCCCTCCCTTCCTCTATCCAGTACTCCATCACCCACTACCGCCCTCCCTGCCTCCATCCCTCCCTCTCTCTCCCAGGCACTCCATCACCCTCTCCACTCCCCTCCTAGTGTTCAGAAGTCCATCTCTGACACCCAGAACACACACTCATCTCTCTCCCTCGCTCACGCTTACAGAAATCACTTATCACAACCACCTCCTTTATCTCTCTCTCTCTCTCTCTCTCTCTCTCTCTCTCTCTCTCTCTCTCTCTCTCTCTCTCTCTCTCTCTGTGTACAACCTCTTGTCCTGTCCTACACTCACACTCTTTTTTTGAAATTCAAATTATGTCTCTGTAACAATTGCCTTTTGCTACATTCTAAGTATGAAATTAATTAACTAAACAGTATGGTACAATAGTAAAATGGTCATAATTAATTCATCATGCATCAAATATGATTCATGCTCATGTGTGCGTGTGCGTGTGTGCATGTCCACTGTGATCAGTGAAGCTTTAAATTATCTGAATCCGACTCCTTTGCAGCCATTGTATATGTGCAGCCTGCAAGTCAAAAAATGATCTCTTTAACTGCATGATGTTGTATAAGAGCCTTCTCTATCCTGCTGACCTAGCCTATGTGAGGTCCTACTCGATTATCTACATTTTATATCAAAATTATGTCTTTGTCTGACTACTCATTTAAGATCACAGACTTGGCTCTGAGCAATTTTGCAGACAGACATGCAACTGCAATACTGCTGGAACAGAGTATCTCCTAAATCTCTCCACAACTTTGTTCTCTCTCTCCCTCGATTCACATTGTTTGTCTTTCCTCTCTCTCTCTGTTTCTCTTCTCTCCCTCTGTTTCTCCTCTCTCTCTCTGTTTCTCTTCTCTCCCTCTGTTTCTCTTCTCTCCCTCTGTTTCTCTTCTCTCTCTCTGTTTCTCTTCTCTCTCTCTGTTTCTCTTCTCTCTCTGTTTCTCTTCTCTCCCTCTGTTTCTCTTCTCTCTCTCTACCCTCTCTATGTTTACTCATCCCATCGTTTATATTGTTTATATTTCTTTAACTCTCTCTCCCTCTTCTTCTCATCCTCTCTTCCTCTCCCTCCCTCCTCTATTCCCTCTCTTCCTCTCTATCCCATCTCCAATTATCTCTCTTCCTTCCTCTCTCTCCCTCTCTCTGAGGAGATTAGCACAATCTCTCTTCTGAGTGAGAAAACAACACAGATAATCCTCGGAGTGCTGCTAGCGGTGACCCTGGATTAGCCAGCCGTTTAAAGTGAGAGCATATGGAAATAATGCTTAACCAATGGAATCAAAGTGTCCCCAGGTGGAATCACAGACACACGAGTAGCAGGCTTACACAACTCATACCCCCAAAAACATTTCAAGAGTGGAATCGGAGAATGGAGATATTGGGAGAAGATGTGTTAATGATCGTTCTATATGATGTAGTACACAGTATATTTCCCATTCAACTCCAAATGTTGCTCAGGATCAGCGTGAGTTCTAGGTTTGTGTAGCATGCAGCTGTGTAGTCAGCACACTTTGGAATAGAGCCAGCTTAGGCGCTTCATGTAGATGTGACAGGATTGGATAGGTATACACAATATGGTAATAGCTCCACCTCGCCCAGTAACAGACTAGGTTACACATTCCTAAAACTGCATAGGGGGTAGGGGCTCTAAAGGTCTGTTTGGGATTTATGCTGAGGCTCTAAAGGTCTGTTTGGGATTTATGCTGAGGCTTCCCTCAGTCTTTTTCTTCCTGACCATACACTATCATGTGTAAGTAGAGGGTATAATGTAAATTAACTATATTTGATTACAGCTGTTATAGTCACCACTGGGTGGCAACATTGCAGAGCAGTAACAAGAGACTACCTGTTATTTACGGTGAAGAAACCTTATTGTAAACTTTAGAACAGGGTTCCCCAACGGGTTTTATTTGGCCCCCCAAGCTTTCTGAGCAAATAAATAAATATTTTGGGGTTTGACCATAAAAGACTGTAAAAACACCAGGAAATCAGCTCCAAGTGATTTTAATTTAAGAAATATGTTGCCAAGTATTATCACACATAATAGAGAAACACGTGATCGTATACAAATGTAAGCAAAGTTAAAAATGATTATGTTTTAGTCAAACATTATATCTGTTCTTGCGGTCAATTTGCAGTCTACAAATTATTTGTAATTATGTTCCGGCCCCCGACCATCCGCTCAAGAAAAAAAATTGTCCCGCTGCTGAATCTAGTTGATGATCGCAGACTTAGAATAATCAGAAAGGGAAGAGGCAGGAATACAGTGATAAGTAGACCGATAAGCAGACAGATAAGCAGACCGCCTGCCTTTCCACTTTTGGGACAATGTGACGATGTGAACACATCCTCATTTTGCTATACAGTGCCTTCAGAAAGTATTAATACTCCTTGACTTATTCCACATTTTGTTGTGTTACAGCCTGAATTCAAAACTGATTACATAGATATTTTTCTCACCCATCTACACACAATATCCCATTATGACAAAGTGAAAACATGTTTGTAGAAATTGTTATTTATTGAAAATGAAATACATAAATATCTTTATCTTTATTTACATAATATTTCACACCCCTGAGTCAATAGTTTGTAGAATCCACTTTGGCAGCATTTACGCCCTGGGTCAATACATGTTAGAATTACATTTGCCAGCGATTACAGCTGTGAGTCTTTCTGGGTAAGTCACTAAGAGCTTTCCACACCTGGATTGTGCAACATTTGCCCATTATTATTTTCGAAATTCTTCAAGCTCTGTCAAATTGGTTGGTGATCATTGCTAGAGAACCATTTTCAGGTCTTGCCATAGATTTTCAAGTAGATTGAAGTCAAAACTATAACTCGGTCACACAGGAACATTCTTTGTCTTCTTGGTAAGCAACTCTAGTGTAGATTTGGCCTTGTGTTTTAGGTTATTGTGCTGCTGAAAGGTGAATTAATCTCTCAGTGTCTGGTGGAAAGAAGACTGAACCAGGTTTCCCCTAGGATTTTGCCTGTGCTTAGCTCCATTCTGTTGATGTTTTATCCTGAAAAACTCCCCATTCCTGAACGATTAAAAGAGTACCCATAACAAGATACAGCCACTACTATGCTTCAAAATATGGAGAGTGGTACTCAGTAATGTGTTGTAGTGGATTTGCCCCAAACATAACACTTTGTATTCAGGACGATTTTTTTTGCAGTATTACTTTAGTCCCTTGCTGCAAACAGGATGCATGTTTTGGAATATTTGTATTATGTACAAGCTTCCTTCTTTTCACTCTGTCGATTAGGTTAGTATTGTGGAGTAACTACAATGTTGTTGATCCATCCTCAGTTCTCATATCACAGCCATTAAACTCTGTACGTGTTTTAAAAAGTCACCATTGGCCTCATGGTGAAATCCCTGAGCGGTTTCCTTCCTCTCCGGTAACTGAGTTAGGAAGGACGCCTGTATCTTTCTAGAGACTGGGTGTATTGATACACCATCCAAAGGGTAATTCATAACTTCACCATGCTCAAAGGGATATGCAACGTTTGCTTTTTTATTACCCATCTACCAATAGGTGCCCATCTTTGTGAGGCATTGGAAAACCTCCCTGGTCTTTGTGGTTGAATCTGTGTTTGAAATGCACTG